TCTTGGAAACATCCTTTGTGGATGAGGTGTGCCTACTGCACTCCCATTGTAGTGACACATAAATTAACTAGAATTTTGAAACTGAAGAATTGTGTACCTTTTAAAGGAATTTTTGAACAGACTCAAGATCAAAAAGGGTGAATTATAATAAATAAATGGAAGATCACAGAGTGATCACACCTCTTACATCCTACTCTCTGCCAGGTAATTTCTTTCCCCTAAATCTCAGCAAAAGCGTACTCAAACAGAATCTGATTTCCCTTGATATTTATGCAAATAACAGAAAGAAATTCCCCACAGGGACAGACCTGTACCTAAAATCTGTGGAACCAGAGCAAGAGTGCAATAAAGGCTCACATGTTGCATTTCCAGTTATTTAAAAGTCACTGATGGAACTAAAAGACTCAAGTTCTATCGCTTTCTCTGACAAATACACCTTCCAAGCCACCTAGAAGGCGAGGATCAGATGAGAATGTCTGGATTCCTGAGACTTCCTCTGGGGGACATGGCAGTCCTTGATGAGTCAGTCTCAGCCAAGGCCTTTGCTCCTCTTCTCCCCCTCCCAAGCTCCACTTTGCACTCTCAGAAGTTCTGTACATCTGCAGATACCTCAGCTGACATGTCCAGACTCTGCCCACTCTCCCACCCGCAAGAGCAAACATCCTCAGGCCAAAGAATGATGCAAGCCAGCAGGGCAGTCTGTCCGTGAAAGAACAAACCTGAGGAATGATAGCCCGGGTCCCAGGAGCAAGCTTCCATTATTTGAGCAGAGAATTCTGGGACCTGAGTTCCTAGAATGGTCAAGAAGTGGGAAGTGGGGAAGACACTCCTAGCCAGAGAGCCATGCAGGGAAGGCTAGAGTGGGAACTGACTAAAGAATGAAGTACAAGACGAGGTTCAGTTGGCCCAGGTTTAGGAGGCAGCATTGCAGGGACATCACGCTGGATGTAAGCTATTATTTAATGTAGTGTTTGATACCAAGATCCGTTTTTGTCTTGCTCCCTGCAGTGGCTAAGGAAATCATCCTCTATAGAGCTAACCTTTTACAGATTCTCTCTTGATCTAGCTATCTAGTTTTTATTGTGAGTATAAGTTTTTCTGTATTTTTTATCCAGCATTCAAAAAATCAAAATTCCAGAATATTCATTTTTAATAACACATTCTATTTCTGGCATAAAAATTTTCTCTACTTTCCACCTTTCTGATTGTCATGGAAAAGACAGAAATATTGAGGTAATTAGAAAGAAGTTAAAGTTACATTTTTCTAACTCTGGCAAATTTCTGATTGTGAGTTGGTAACATCTATTAATAGATCTATTAATATCTATCAGCCCAACTTCAAGAATATTACTGCTTTTATTCTGTTACAGTAGAGGGCACTTGTACATAAAAAAGTTATACAAATACAGAAAAGGTAGGATTTTATTTCCAAAATTGGGTATTTAAACAACAACAAATTCAACAGGTTTCAAAAGACACACAATTTATATTTCGTGGCAAATTAAATATTTAGCTTAAAGCTTACACACTGCTTACTTTTGGAACTATATTTTCTAAAGGCATACAATCTGTATTTCATGTGACCTTTAAAATAAATGGCCACACACACAAGAAAGATACTGGCTTAAAGCATTCCATAGCACCTTGTTACCTCCTGAGGGAATACACTTTCAGATTCATCTCTTTAACAAACAGCTACCGAGTGCCTGTAATTTGCCTAGCATGAGGCTACCTAAGTGACAGAGATAGAGAAATGACAGATTCCATGCTTCTTCTAGTCTAGGAGGCACTCCTAGACATCTGTTTTCTACACAAGAAGCATAAATTATTACTTAACCTTTCTGAGAAAGCAAGGAATCATTTCCATAGTTGCTAGACATTAAGAAAAGAGGAAGTTCCTCTTCTATTAAGGATGCCAGCCATATCTGACAATCCACCAAAGAATTTTGCAAATAGACTATTTGTAATATGAGAAAGGTGGAAAAACAAGGAATTTAAAAAACAGTACTACAAAACTAATGTGTGTTAGCTTAGGTCCCAAAGAGAAACATCAGCAAAATGGACTTTGTTTTTGGATTTCACGGCATTAAAATAATAAATTGTACTGATCTTGTTATAAAGCAATTTCACATTTTTAGGACTTTATATCCAGGACGAGTGTCAGGTAAGCTAATGGATACTACCAGTTCATGTAGAAAATAATGAAACATAGCTCTATATTTCTTCTTTTATCTTGAAATTATGAGTTAGCTGGTTTTACAGTTAGTCTGCTGTGCTGCTCTGGAAAGGTATAGGAAAATGATCCAGAAAAGTACAGGAGAAAAATGATGGTCTCTACATGACAAACTACCTACAGCTGTAAAAGGAGATGATGGTACATTACCCAACTTTAGGATAATGCTGGACAGCAAACATTCTTGCATCTTACACATTGGATAAAGATCAAACCACTTCTTTTTTTTTTTTTTTAATGTCCATACATCTTAATTTAATATTCTAGGGCTAGAGTAACAAAAATTGATAAATAAACCTAAATAAATAGTTAATTCTTAAAACTTGAACAAACATTGATCCCTTTCGCCTTTCCCAATTTCTTTCTTTTGTTTCTCTTCCTCAATGTGCCATATTATACCTAGATGTTTAAAATAGTTATTATTTATTTCACATGTATGTCCCCTGTTCTTAATTGAAAAGGAGATATAATGTTTAGAGTTATTATATTCTAGACTTGGACTAGAGTTTATAAGTAATCTAATTTCTTATTTCATAAATGAATAAATAGACCCCGGAGAACTTAAAACTTTTCTTAAAAATCATCAGTGAGTTTGATTTTTAACTGATGTGTCTCATTGTATTTGCTTCTTTCCTATGGAAAGGAAGGTGTCCTGCCCCTGACTTAAGCAGGATGAATGAAAATTTATAGCATGAAATTACTCAATTAATGAACTTTCAAAATGAGTAGGTATACTGTATCTTAAATTTATTTTTCATTGTGTCCTTACCTTTTTCTTCTTCACTGATGACTTGGTGCAAATTAGTGAGATTTCTAGTTTTAGACAGCAGCTCCTGGTATGTCCCCACTTGAGCTATTCTGCCACTTTCCATTACAACAATAAGATCCATTTGTGGCAGAAGTGTGAGATTGTGTGTCACTAAAATACGAGTCTGAAAAACAAAGTGTTTTATCTCAGAGGTTACAAAAAATCGCATTTTCAAAAAAGCTGCAGTAACTTTTTTTCCTTTACTATTTTAGAGTATGATTTTTGGTAGGTGCCAGTTTAAGGCAGCATCCATATATCTTACAAGGAATAATGACATGCTGCTAGGTGAGAAAATAGTTTGTAAATGTGATTTTTAACACTTCTGTTCAGGTATTTTTTCA